AGATGGAGCGAGATTCTATTATGGCGCCCCCTTGGTTGCCCTTAATTTATACTCTTTAATTTTTCTTTACCACTGAGGCGCCCCCTAGGACTTAGCGCTTGGAGCGGCTGCTCCGTTCGCCCTATGGTAGGGCCGGCTCTGACAATAAACCAAGATACAGTTAACAGGATAAATTCCTTTGAGATGTGGTGTCTTGGAAGAATAGAAGGAATTAGTTGAATAGATACAATAACCAATGAGGAGGTTATGAGTAGATTTGGAATGGAAAGAAACCTGATGGTCAGCATCCAGAGAAGAAAAACAGCTTATGTTGGGCGTATAATAAGGGGATTATCAGGGGAACTGATGAAAATTGCAGTTCAAGGCATAGTGGAGGGCAGACGGAGAAAGGGAAGACCTAGGCTAACGTGACAAGATAACATCAAAAAATGGACTGGCTCAAGCTTGGGATAAGCCTACAACCGTGAAGAGTGGAGAAGAACTGTCCATCAACTGCAACCCTCTGTAAAGAGGACGCCATGTAAATGAATGAGAAACGTAGTAGAATAGTAAGATTTACTGACTATAACACATGCTTTAAGTATCTGGTGTCGAAATGATACCATGTATGTTAATAGTTAATGGACAGCACCGGATAGGAAGTATGGTCAAAACAATAGGACTACAGCAAAATTAGCGCCATCTCAGGTGTGTAGGTGTTTGATATAACAATCTACGACGATTTTTTATTGCTAATAATAATAATGGCACATTTTAAATATGAGAAATAATACGTTTCTATCTGTATTTACCGTGTTAACATATTACCGTAGTATGTTCTATTTTCACGTAAACCAATTTCATAAATTAATTCAGTACATTTGATTACAGAATCAACTGTACTTCTTTTCTGGTAATTTTTTATTATATTAGAAGCAGCTGACATGACTTGGTATCAAATTATCTAATGATATCGAAGAATATTTGAGTATTCCAGCCTAGATAAGACGGACTTGTTCCTTGCCATCTAGCTGTTCGAAGATGGGCCAGATTGAACCTTATTTATGCATATGTGGAGATGGGTCTGGTTGAATCGAGTGGATGGGCTTAGTCTCGCAGGCAGAGTATTAAAAAATTTAATTCGAATTTTGTAATTTAAACTTTTCTAATTAGGAAGTATATTTTTAAAAAGAGAATATATAAGATATTTTTGAAAATGACACGTTTGGGAATGAAATTCACGCACAAATATTAGACTTGTGATCATTGACTCTAGCCTTTACTCTCGTAAAGGATTAGCTATAACAGTGCAACTCCGATGATATTATTACTAATGTCATCCTGTACATTATACCAACGATTATATTTCTTAATGGCGTAACCATGATATCGTTGTGACGTAGTCAATGGCTTATAACATTATGTAATAATACCTACACAGTATATGACCTAAAAAGATAAAATTATTAATTATTATATAACTTAGTAAAATAAAATTAATTGTCAGGACAATACGTATAAACTTAGAGAAACTTCGAAGAAACTAAAAGGAAAGAGGACATTTTTAAAGTTCGTTCCTAGGATTTTTTTGTAATTTTTCCAAGTTTATGTAACTTAGTATTTAGAAAATTAATGTAATCGTATATTGAATATAGAGAGACGTTAAACCAGGATATTTGTAAATAAAAAATATAAATAAATACGACATGTTTTTTTAAAAATGTTGATTTTTATTTTTCCGGCTGTTATATATAACAGAGGGAAAGTATAGCGATCGGTCAAAAAAATGCTCCCACAAGCTTTTTACATTTTTTTTTACTCGGGATCCTGAAACGTCGAGAAATGCAAATAAATTCGGGGTTTTTCCGTATGTATGAATGTTAATGTGCGTGTGTGTATGTGGGACGATTTTATTCACCATCTTTGAAGCTTAATAATTCCTATGCTTTTTGTCGAAAATTTCTGAAAATTTGCAAGGAGATTTGTATATTAGGAGCATTGATACTATTACATTTTGGTGATAAAAGGTCGTGTAGGTGTGGAGATAATGGGGGTCGTATATATCTCCAGTATGGTCTGACTTAATGACGATTTTACTCGTTATTGGCATTTACAATTATTTATAAATCCCATCTTTACCCTCAGAATTAAGCTATTTTCCATTTTATAATAGTTAAAAATATAAAAAGTTTTTAATAAAAATATGATAACAGATGGCGCCACCAAATGTCGCCGGGAAGTTAAGCAACTCGTTGCTGGTTTTTTTTCAAAATAGCTTTCTACAGAATTGCATCGTCCTAATGTTTTACACCAAAAAAATATACTAATAAAGAAAATATTTTCCAATACCTTTCTCAATTAAACTGTTTTATTCCTTATGAAGTTCTAATGTGTAGAAAATCTTTTAGTGGATCAGAAAGGTTTAAAAAAATTATGACTCAAGATTCTTATAGTGTGAAGAACGTGATATATTTGCCATATCAAATCACGGAGTTTTTCAGTGATAATATGCACAATGTGTGGATTAGTGATAAATGATTCAGGTGTTTAAATCACGGGATGTAACAAAATAAAACTCAGAATTGTAGAAAATTCCACAGTTAGATATTATTTACAACTAAATATTTCTAAAAGCGTTTGTATGTAAATTTGTATGCAAAAAAATTTTAGTAATTTTAAGTTTTTGAAATAGCTAGTGTCTGCTTTAAAAGATTGTTTATAAATATTTACTGTACAAATAATTTTTCAATTGTCGACATTTGTGTATATATGTAATTTACGTACGCAAACACACATTACAATTCAATATTTTTTTTTTATAAATGCAACATTTGTACGTTTTTCTTAATGTTAAAATTATAGGAATTATTGACTTATAGAAACCACTAACCTCAAGATAATCTCAAGATTCTTGAGAGTCAGAATTTCAAAGATCTTTCGAAAATTTTAACCATTTTTATGAAAATAAAATAAATTATTTTGTATATATGTAAATTTAAATTTAAAGTACGGTAAGTTATTTTGTGTGTTTTGAACTTTGACTGACTTTAATCGTGTAAATTACACGTCAGTTAAGTTGAATTCGCAGTGCAATTCGTTATACACTGCCGTATATCATACAATTAAGTATGCACAATATTTACTTTGGAAATTATGGCAATTAAATTTATAATTACAAACAGTGAGTTTAAAATTTATTAATAACAATTAGCATTATAACAAATAACTATAATTGATCAACTATTCGGTTGTTACAAAAATAATTCTCTATTTTTCATCACTTGCGTAATGTCTACGATTAATTTTATAACATTTATTTTAAGTTTGAAATTTTTTCCCCTTGTCACGAATAATTTAGTTTCGTTTCCGTTTTGAAATTAGGACAGTGTTATTTATAAAACTATTTTTTTTTTTACAGTTTGTTTTTCTATTCCCGTGAATGAAACCATTCACGGGAATAGAAAGTTAAGCAAACGCATACACTTTGCAGTTAAGCAAACACAATTCTGATATAAGGAATTGTCAAAATTTTATGGAATTGTAGGAAAACGAAATCTGGAAAATAACGCTTACAGTGGTTGTGTTTTCTTATTTTTATTTTTATTGGAGTGTTTCCTTCCTTAATTTATGAACACTTTGCTGATTCTTACTTTATTAATATCTTACAAAAAGATATGATTACTGGAACTACAATGCCTATAATATCAATGATCTTTTTACATCTCAAAATGAATTTTCTGGGATATTTCTCGTGAAAGAATTTATATTGATGAAATGCTTTTAAAGATTATCACTGAATGTGTTTTCACTGTTTACAAGTTAGTATTTCATTAAATTTCGTGATTCGATTAAAAACTTCTTTGGGCCCGGGAAAATTTGAATTAGGGGCCTCAGTACAGTGTCGACTTTAGGCATTTTTCTTCAGAGAAAATTTTTTTGGGGGAAATTCCCATTTTCTTGACTTTTGGAGGGTTCTGTGCCCTCTGGTTGGTAGGGGCTCCAGGCAATTGCCCTTTTTGCCCATAGGATAACGCGCCACTGTCTACAGCCAAAATATATTCTGGAAACACAATGTATATACGTGTTAGTATCATAATCAGTCTCTTCTGAATTAGTTACATTACTACTTAGATGTTAGTGTTAACAGCAAATGAATTGGAACTATCGTGTGTAGAGTTATCTCCCACTGATGTTCTATGTGCGTGTTTACAGTAGCAGACAACATGATTGATAACGCAACTTGCACGTAACATCTATTACCTGATTGTAACGTCTATCTGATTATAATAGATATTTGTTACTAATAGACTAAACAACAGCTGCTTTGCGAGTTATATACTTAAGTAAATTCAATCAAGCCCGATTTCACATCTACTACTCGTTAAAATTATTTTTTTAAATAAGAAAAAGTTCTTATTCTTCTGTCTTCTGTTCCTAGAAGCATCAGATTCTGGAGCTTCTACGAACAGAAGACTGGGCTTTTCTATATGATTTTACATTATAAATTAACTACGTCTAACTGTAGCTATAGAATTGTTTATAAATTATGATATACAATTGCAATGGTAAAATTGTTTTATTTCTGTAGAATTTTGGGGGCCCCAAAGACTCGGGGTGCCCTGAAATTCTAGGCACTAGTGAAGCATGTGCCTCACTTGCCTAAAGGGAAATCTAGCACTGACAACAGGAATTTTTTTGTGTATTTTTTTATACCAATTATATATTTCTCAGTCATAAATCAAGTTATTTGAATATTTTTTCGAATTTCTGACATTTTCTGACTTTTTGCCAATGTATTTCATTTCCCGAACAATTGTATTGTTAATAATTATTACTGTATATGTATATATATATATATATATTTCAAACAATAATTAAAAATTTGGAAAACAGAATTTAATTATATTTTAAACTTAAGAATTAAGAAAAGAGATTTGGAATTAAGAAATTTAATTAAGTATTGAAATTTTAATTACATTTTGTTATTCAGCATTTTTTTAATTTAAATTTTATTTTTACAGAGGAATATCATTTGCATGTGTACTTTGAAGATGCTATTAGTCAATTATTATCATTAAGACAAGAAAATAGTAAAATTAAACATGTAAAGTTTTTTCGCGAATAGTAAGTAATGAATTTATTATATTCATTCGAATTTTATTAAATATATTAAAGTAAATTTTAAAGAAATGAAAAATGACTATTTAATAATATAATAAGAGGTTTATAAAGTGTTTTTATAGTAGTTTATTTTGGCATTTATATCTGTAAGTTTTTAAATATTTAATCCAAAACTGTAATAATTATATTTTAAATAAATTAAATTTGACAAAATTTAAAACATTCCTCTCTAAGTTGTCTATGTCTTAAGCCGTTACGCAATATGGGTTTGTAATATAATGTATACAAAAATTCCTCACTGATAATTTAGAACTTTGAAATTATAATCTAGTGTAATAAATGAAATAAATATTACAAAAGTACATGTGAAATAGTCCAGTGCAGAATAGTTCAGACATACAAGTTTTTAGACAGCCTTTGTATGAAATGTTTGGGTAAAGAGGATGTTGGTATTTTATGGGATCTTATAAAAAAGCTATGGCAGCAAGATAGGACACCAAATGAGTGAAGTTAAAATATTTTGGTGCCAATTTGTAAAGGAAAAGGAGATGTGTAGGAATTTGGAAATTATAAGTGAATTAAATTGATGTCGCACTCAATGAAGATCAGGGAGAAAATTGTGGAAGGAAGGCTTAAGCTATATGTGAGAAACAGTTTGGTTTCATAGACCTTGAGAAGGCGTACGACTAGATGCCTAGAAAAGAAGGATTGAAGTATATGAGGGTAAACGGAATACCAGAAGAATATATAAGACTTGTAAATGAAGTGTTTAAGGGAACAGTGACCCAAGTAAAGAACGGCGTAGTGTTGACAAAGAAATTCTCTGTAAGAGTTGGATTGCCCCAGAACTCAGCTATCAGTTTGTTTTTGTTCGATTTAGTGATGAATGTGTTGGTGGGAAATTGAAGAGCAAGGCACCATGGAATATTCTATTTGCAGACAACATTGTGCTTTGAGAAATATCCCCAGAGAAGGTAAAAAATAAGCTTGAAGAACGAAGGAAAGCGCTGGAAGAGAGAGGCATGAATATCAGAAGCGCAAAGAGTAGAGGGGAGGAGAGTTATATAAAACTCCAGGATGAAAAGTTACTAACTGTTTCCAAATGATGGATCATATATGGCGAACAATGGAGCAATGAGTACAGAAGTTGAACATAGAGTTTAGAGTGATGGCTGAGCTGAAGAAAAATTATTGGGGTGTGCTCTACAACAGGGTTCGGCAACGCGGCACACGTGGCACATCTCAGGTGCGCTCACTAAAACCACAGTCACGCAAACGCAAATATAGTCATCTTTGTATTTGTAATTTAATTTAATTTAATTTTGTATTAGGCCTGTGTACGTATTTTTAATTTTCATTTTTTAGTTATTACATGCCCAGTGTAATCTTTATTTTGTATAAATATAATATCCGTATTTCAAAACATAATTATTTTGTTTATTAATTACAACATTGTGATTTTTCTTAAAAAATTAAACAAATACTCCATGGATGGTTTTTAAAATTTTTATTGCGCTCTTAGTAACAAAAAGGACCCCTGCTCTACTATACGCAAATAATCGGCAAAATGAAAGGAAGATTATACAAAGCTTGTAATTGCCCACTTCTGGTAAAAGCTGCAATGATACAGTGCTGAGAAGTGGGCAATTACAAGCGCCTAGGAAAGAAGAAGGAAATGGTGAAAATAAAAATGCCGAGATGGATGTGCGGTATGGTGAGAAAGGACAGAATTAGGAATGATTACATCGGAGGAATGGTCAAGATGGGTCCTATAAGTATGAAAATGCAGGAAGATAGATTAAGTTGGTTTGGACATGTGGAGAGAAGAGGCGAGGATTATGTTGCAAAGGAGTTGGGAAGTTGGAGGTGACGGGAGGATGAATTGAGGAAAACCGAAGCTGAGATGGAGAGACAAAGTAGCAGAAGATTTAGTAGAGAGGGGTGAAGGAAACAGGACGTCCCGGACAGAAAGATGTGGCGAAAACAGATCAGAGATGGAAACGGTGACCCCATACAAACATGGGAAAAAAGCGAAAAAGAAGAAGAAAACTTTGTATACCTGAACATGATAACTGTTGTCACATGTTCATTGATATAATCACACATTCATTGATGTGATTCTTTTTCTATTCTCTTTTACATTAAGAATTTATATAGTTGTCACTATAATGAAACACGATGAATTTTTCTATTTTTCTTTTCTCAACCTGTTTTGGTATTCGATTTTCGTTTTTCTGCTACTTCGACTATTCATCGCTACCTATTTTGTTTTTTCTATGTTTATTCATTGTAATCGTATGTATACAATCTAATCATTTATTTGTTTTATTTTACATAAATCTGTATAAATTTCAATTAACGAAATCGTGTTTCGTTCTCTATTTACGCTCTCATCTCAATCATTGTATATTCTACCAGTAGCCGAGTGGATAAAACCACTGAACATCAATTGGTCCAATTGGTGGCGGGTTTTCGCCTAACCAACAAGCTGGCTACATGGAGTTTTTCAGGTTTCCAACCTCATGCTACAATAGTAAAATGTTAAAATATTAACAGTACTACTAAAAATAAGTTAATAATTTAGATTATTGCAATTTCAAATTATAAATTATTAATTACATTTTATTTAATTCGAATATGTATTATTATTAATGAAAATTTATAAGCGATGAATTAATTATTAAATTAATTTTGTGTGTTATTTCGTTCAATTCGTTTACATAATTTAGGTTTCTGATCATTTTTATCGTTTCTGAAAAGCTTTTTGAACTAAAAATTAGATACAAATTCGTGTCTATGTTCATGAAATGGGGAGTTTTTTGCAAAAGTTTGCTCGAATTTTAATAGACTTTATTATAATTACAGTATTAAATGGATACAGTAGACCGAAAATCAATCAGTAGACCTATCAATCTTGCTAAAAAACATCTAAATCGTTGTTTCTTTCTTCGGAAAAAATACATGGTGTCGCTGCTTATCTTACAACTTTCACAATACGTGTTATGTAAAAACCCTCAAAATAAATTAAAAATTTGTTATAGGAACAGAAAATGAATGCTAGTGTCTTGCCTTCTTCCTACACACTTACTCAAGAAAAGAGGTTAAAACCCCTACAAATGTGAATCAAGTCTTCAAAAACTTACTTGTGTCAGTCTTTCTGACGTAATACAACGGTAAGTCCAATTACAGCGTATCTATAAATCCCATATTAACATAAAAGAACTCATCAGAAAAAAGAAGTTTTAGGTAATCCGAAACACTGACTAATACGAACAGATTCGGGTCCCAATTAGTTCAGATCAGCGAGATCTACTAGTGAAATATTCTTAATTAAGGTATCTATATCATTGAAAGTTTTACTTTTACAAGATAATCGCCAAGATCTTATCAATTAATTTATTTAATCATTCATACTATTGTGCTAATGGACTTTATATTTATTCGAAGCAAAAGAAATAATAAATAATTAAAACAATATTTTATACAGTACTTTGTTAAGAATTCTGTTGAAACGAATGTGTTTAATCGGAAATAATATAAATTTCTTACGCTGTATTCTGCTTCTGTTATATTTTTGGGTGAGATTGAGGGTATGGGTTAGTATAAGGAAGGCAAGCATAATTATTACTTAATATAAACAAAACTATTTTCTGAGTTTGTTAGTCTGTATAACGCGACAAGTAGGCTATCTGTCGAGGGGGTGCCTCTTAGAAAGACTTTCAATGGGAACCTGGCCCCTATTTAAATGTTACAAAGGTGAAGAAAACCCAGAAAACTCCATATGGTTGACGAGGCGCGAACCCACGACCAACTACTAGTACTAATGTTCGGTGGTTTTATCAACTACTCGGCCACTTGTGGCTAAAGATTGAGTGGGCTAACATGTTTCCATCTATAAAGTTATTTCGATAATTTTATATTTAGAATAGGGGAGATCGGGGCAACTTCGGCATGCGGGGCAAGTTTGTCAAGCGCTTTTTTTAAAAAACAAATTAAAAGGAGACTTTGGTTATAGGTTAGGCGGTTGAGTTTTATTGGTGGTTTGTTGAATGTAGTGTTTTTATTGTTCTCCAACAAGCGTAGTTGAATTATCAAGCAAATTTTCATTTTCGTTGAATTCCATATAATATTTTTTTTCCATTTATATTGAATTGGCAGGTTTTGTTATAATTCCATGATAACGAAAGTTACTTTTCCTGTTAGAAGGATGTAACTTCAACTTATTCACGTGGTCAGATCGTGGCTTGGCATTCTGTTCTCAGGGTTGTACTTAATGTTTCGAAATCATGACTAGCGGGGTAAGATCGGCAACATAAAGCCACATTAGAAGCAAAGGATAAAAATCAAACAGATGATAAATGAAAACATGTTTGCATTTGTTATTCATGTATATATGTCTTTGAACTTGCATTTCGTTGTAATAATATTAAATGGGTGTTGGATTTGTATTTCTTTGTTTTAATAGTGAATTCCAACTTATACATTGTTAATAACATAATTTTATATACGTGCCTATCTTGCCCCATTACTGTTGCCCCTATACCAGGGGCAACTTTAATAAAAATAATTAAAATAATTACAACTTTACAAAAAGAGAGAAGTTGCCGATCTTGCCCCTATACCCGGGGCAACTTCGTCAATTTCTCTCTTCTTGTAAAGTTGTAATTATTTTAATTATTTTTATTTCCAAACTGATTTTAACCAGTTCTATAGTAAGGTAACATTCCAATAGACAATATGCAAAGCTTTTTTTTCAGTTTACAGCAGTATTTACAGTATTACACAAAATTTAAGTAAAGCTTAACATGCCGATCTTGCCCCGATCTCCCCTATATAACAGTGTATTTATATATCAATTGTAACTTAGATAAAATACTTCGTTATGATTTATTCAATAAAAAGTACACTTTATTCTAAAACAAAGAAACAAAATTTTTAAAATAATTGATTTATTAATATCAAACCATGCTTTAAATACATGAACATTGCTATATGAACATTATCTAACGTATATTATGAAATAAATTATACAAATATCTACAGTATTACTAATACTGTAAAGAATCTAGTTAACATCGTGAACTGTATTTTTTCAGATATCAATTATTTTTACAGTAGAAAATTCATGTTAATAAACTTGTATTCACAAGATTATTTGTAAATAATTTCTGTTCCACACTTGTGTACAACTTGAAGACTACAATAGATCCCAAATTTCAAACACATACAACTCATAATGTTGCAAACGTTATTACTGATGTATTCGTCACAAAAAAGCGCATAATTGTAACGCTATAACATCTAGATAATATAACACCTCCGAGTAGCCTTTCTTTTTTTTAATATAACATAGAATGCATCTGTTTATATTAAATTAGAAATATGGTTCGATAGAGAAGAATCATATGATTACCATATGGCATTATCGTTTGATTATTAGAATATATCGGTCTTGGGTTATCAGTACATTTCTTCTTTCAAAGATCAGTTAATGTAAAATGGTAGTATTTTATTACAATGGTACCATTTTATTTTCGTATAGTCTTTTTCCGCGTACAGTATATGGTGCAGTTTGGATCACAGAATTGAACTCCATATCCTCTTAAACCGACATAAAACGGCATGACCGAAAATACTTTCGAAAATAGATATTTCTGACAAATTCTCTATAAAGAAATACAGATATTCTATTCCAAAGCCGTTTATAAAATTTGAACTGGATCCGACAGACAATAAATCTCTTATAGTATTTCAAGAAATCGGTGGAGTTTGCAACTTTGTGAGCGTATACCGTAAATATCGCACTGGAGACTTATTTTTCCACTCCTAATCGAATTTTCCATTTTTGACTAAAGACAGTTATTCATCCGTCTAAATCAGGAAGTGTGCAAAATTTCGTTTTCTTATACTAAATAACCGTCGAAGTCGGACACAAAACTAAATTTGTTTTGTAGTTAGGCGAGCAAGCTTAGAATTTTAAACGGTAATATATGTTTCTATTTAAAATTCTGAAGCGATGTTTACATCATTAAAGCTATAAGAAATGCTTTTATATTTTTTGAAATTCTCACATGTATTTTAGTAATATGCTTTAAACTTTTGATTTTATCTTCGATGTTACTAGGTGCTCTGAATTGCCTTATATAAGCATCGTCTTGTTCGAATGTTCTGCAGTTTTGTTTGATTATTTTGACATTTATATTCTGTTTACATGCATTTGCTATTTCATTGAAAACGAAATCAGGAACAGATCTGAAAATATTTTTCTGTTTTTGTTTTTTATATTGATTCGATTTCGGTGATTATATTTATTAAATAATTTTATATTTTGTAATTTTCGTACTGTTTTCTGTCTAAAGCTTGAAAAATTGCCAATTTGCTGATTTTTATTAAATTTTAAACTTCATTCTTATTCAAAGGTAATTTATCTAAAACCATTTTATTTATAGACCGAAAATTCCCATATTACTTAACATTTAAAATCAAAAATTGTGTATTTTGTATTATACAGTATTATATTTCCTCTATTTTTAAAAGAAGACAAATAAATGGGACAATAAAAATGAAAATGTACGTGAAAAAAGCTCTGAGTCGAAATATAATCCAAATGGTCAATAGGAATTAATGGATAAAAGTGTTTATGACATACACATCATAAACACTGGTAGTTGGTCGTGGGTTCGCACCACACACGTGGAGTTTTTCGACTTTTCCTCGAGTGTTTTACTCCTAAAAAGGGACCAGTTCCCATAAAAGTCCTCCTGGTAGACACTTGACGGATCGTCCACGTGTTGTTTTGCTTCATTCTACTATTTCAATCCAATTATGATATACTAAGAATCATTTAACGACTGATGACGAGTGGTGGAAGTGGCAATGACATTAATATCTGCGACTACCGGCCGGCAGTCGCAGATATTAATGCCATTGCCACTTCCACATAATAAAAGCATTATCTGCTAGGAAATCTAGCGTTATTAGTGTATTATGAATGATGTGTCAATTAAAAGTATTAGGGAATCATAATACTTATAATTAGCTTGGTACCGAAATAAAATATAATATAATAGATTCTCGTTAATTAGAACTCGTATAATTAGAATTGGACACTAATTCCCATTTTGATTCTTATTTAAATCAATGAAAAATCAGTAATTCGAAGTCGATTTTGCTGTCTCCTGTTTATTTGAATCAAGAGCGTATGTTACTACTTTAACGTCTTCTTCCCATTTTTGAAATTTAAAGATCGAATTTAAAAATAAATTAATAAATTAAAAACATTTTAAGTCACTTAGAGCACGATGATTTATGCTTGCGGTGTTGCTTCTCGTGATACAGAGCCTATTTTTTGTATTTCTAATTCATTAAATATCATTCTTCTTGCCATGTGGTGTTAATGTCTTGTTAAAATTAATTATTTTTCCGGCTGTTATATAAAACAGAGGGAAAGTATGACGATCGGTCAAAAAATGACCCCCCAAGATTTTTACATTTTTGGACTCAGGACATTGAAACGTCGAAAAATGCAAAATAATTTGGGTTTGTTTCTGTATGTATGGATGCTATAGTGTGTGGGAGAGCACGATTTTGCTCACCCTCTTTCAAGCTTAATATCTTCTGTGCTTTTTGCCGAAAATTTCTGAATTTTGCAGGGAGTTTTGTTTTGTTGATAGGGGATTGCTATTAAATTTTGGTGATTAAAGATTGAGGGGGATGGAGAGATAAAGGTGATCGTGTGTATCTCCAGTAGTAGGGTGTGACTTAAATGACGATTTTACTCGTTATTAGCATTTACGATTTTTTTTATAAAATCCATCCTTACTCTAAAAATTAAGCTTTTTGCCATTTTATAATAATTAAACACATAATTTTTTTAAACATAAAATATAATGACAGATGACGCCATCAAATGTTGTCGGAAAAGTTAAGCAATTCATTGCTCGATTTTTGTTTTGTTCTGTATTATCCAGAAATGTCTCTTATTAATCCAAACTCTTTAATGCCGTCCCTCTGAGTTCGAATTAATCCACTGAGAATCCACTGTATTTATCTATTTTTGTTCATTTAAAATAAACAATTCTTATCGGTTTTACAATCACGTAACGAAAAAAAGTATATGGTATAACCTATACCGTATACCAAAAATATATGGTATAACCTAAACCGATTACAGTGATGAAAAATAATACAAATTTTGCACTTAATATTATTTTTAACTTTAACTTTTATTAAAATTTCATAATTCACTTTAATAATAATGTTATAGCCAGTTCTGATAAAAACAGATATATATATATATTACAGAAGATTATTACTTTAAATAATAAATTATTTTTTCAATAATTCCTGTAGAAGCATATTTTTTAAAAGCATAAATTTTTAGTTTTAGAAGTGTTCAGCAGGGAAGTCACGTACTGTTTCGTGATTATGAATTTATAAGTGCAACTCCTCATAATAGAGCTTGTGTCATTGAATGTTTTTGGAGGACGTATAAAACTATGCACTATAACGGAGGTAATAGACATTAAATAAAAGTTACGTGTAATTCGAAAATGATTTTATTTATTTATTTTACGTGTTTCTTTATTTACAGAACGTCTGTCTTTAAAAGATTGCCATTCTGTTCTTCAATTATTATGGCCTGATTTTCCAGAAAGTATTGTTCAATTAACTGTTAGGTAATTTGATAAATATAATTAAAAATATAAATATTAGTTAAAAATTTAATTGAAATGTAACTCGATTTTAAGGATTATTATACGAAATGGTTCTACTCCAAAATATTTACCATTTAAAGAGTTTCTATATGGCTTTCAATTGCAATTTTGTTTTGAAGGTATGTATACGTTTACTTCTTAGTTTTTTTCCATTTTAATATATGATTTAATTAATTAATTTTGTATTTTTTTTAGAATTTCTTCAGATGGCAAAAGAAGTTTTTGAAGATATAATATTTTTGTTAAGAGAAGATGAAATTAAGGAAGTCAATACAGTTAAATTTTTATCTAAATTAAAAGAAAATCTCAATACGGATAAACCGAAAACGTCTTTGTGAGTTTCTTTGTCAGATTTATTTTTTTAATTAACAAATGAGTTATGTTTTAAAATTTTATTTTAGTTATCCCACTTCACAAATTCTAGATAAATTTATGGAATGCCCCAATTTTAAGTGCTTTAAAGAATTCCAGAGAACTTTATTAATTCACGAAGACATTACTCAATTAGTAGGTTAGTAATTTTTAACTAATTGAAACTATACTTAACATATGTTCATATTAGGGATTGTAAATTTACTGACTTTTTCATTTACCGGTAATTCGGTAAATGAAAATTAAAATACCGGTTTACCGGTAAATTACCGGTAAATTTTTTTCCTGAAAAATAAAATTAAGGTGATAAAAAATATGTCATTTTGATTTCCATTTCACATTTTTTATTTCAAAGACATAGAGTATAAAAAATATATAAATTAAAGTGTTATTCTAAACAAACTATAATAATAACTTTTAGAAACAGAAATAAAATAATACAGAAAAATAAAAATACAACAGAAATAATATATAGTACCTAATACCTTTTTATTGATTATCATTTTTTAAAAACAAACTTTTCAAGAAAGTTAAATTATTTAAAGTCTTATCTCCTAATTTTGATCTAATTTTTGTACAAAATAATCCAGATTAGGTTAGGTTAGGTTTCCAGACTTTTTCAAACAGCATCCTTAAGTAATAAAAATCTTTCCAGCATGTTTAGTAAGCTATTCCACCTGGTTCTACAATCTAAAATTAAAGAAAGTTCTTTTCGTGAGAGTAATGGGGATTCCCCAAGAAAATAGTGATAGAATAATACATATTTTGCACAATCTTAAGGCATAATATTAGAATCTTGTAATAAATATTCGTATTTAATTATTTTAAACAGTTGTTAGAAGTAAAAAATTTATTTCATGTACAAATTTTAATGTTATTTTACGATAATGTTGCATTAATGTCCTGTTATAATGTGGTGTATTCAAAATTGCTATTAATTTAAAAACTACGTGAAATATTTACGTATTATTATTTTTAAATATTAAAAAAATATATTTACTTACTCTTTAAGAAAAACAATTGTAAAAATTTTAAACCTTTAAAAATCTCAAAAAACTGCAGAGCGCAAATCACATATGCTAACTAGAGCTTTCTGTACAATTTACAGTGCCTCTCAAACCCAAGAAAGTTTAAATTAAAATTAAACAAAAAATATCTCACATAAAATTAATAATTAGGTATATTGTTGCTTACACTTATCTGTTTTTTTTTTTATTTCAATGTTCTTTTAGCCCTTTTAAATATCTATAAACACAATATTTTCTACATAAAAATTTTTAGTATGAATTTTTCATTTACCGAATTTACCGGTAAGTTTACCGAATGTTTTTTTGTCAATTTATCGGTTAACCGGTAAATCGGTAAACCGGTATACAATCCCTAGTTCATATACAATGATGCTCATATTTGAAATTTCTAAATTATATAAATGGCGGATGGAAAGTGACTAGACATCGAGAAATTGCTATAAATTTTGTAATAATAATGTAATCATAATAAAATTTATATAACAATCAATAGAATTTTGTAATTCTTGCATTTTTGTGGGGAGTGACCAAAATAAGTTGCACGTGCAAAGGCAAAAAAGATGGCCGACTGATTGTATATTCGGGAGACAGCGCTTATTGCTACACGCTATGACGTTTGGAAATCAGTGGTTGCTGTGCAGAGATGGTGGAATAGGTGAAGAGACGTCATGCCACAATCCGCCCGGAAACAATCAAGAACTGTCATTCGAAGCTAATGACCTCAGATTCGGTTGAGGACGCACAGAAAGTGTCAATTCATCCACATTAAGATTCTCGATCGTTTGAGAAAGTTAGTAGATGATGACGATAATTACATTGAATTTTAAGGAATGCAACCATATTTCCATTTAATAAGATATGTATCGTATAATTTTCATCAACTTTGCCTTTATAAATGTAGGAATTATAGCGATTTCTTAATACCTAGTTTCTTTGCATCCATTTTCTATATATTGATTTATAATGATTATATCCAAATCCGTAGTGATATTCAGAGTTTATTCGATTTGGACTATATTGATGTAGTTAGAGTAATCTTGATAAATCCGTTTAGATAGAAATTATAGTCGATATTATTCGATTGCATCAATATTATTCGATTAACAGTAATTGCAGAACTATTTATTTTAGTAAATTACTCTCTAGCAAGATAATAGAATTTGTTGTATTTTCGTTTTCATCATTCATCTACGATAATTGAAATCTACAGTACATTTTGTTATTATTATTATGATTATGTTATAAATAAAAAATATATTATTTTATACGAAATATAGTTAAATATTAAGGTAATCTAATGTCATAAGTACGACTGATTAGTTAACGCAACACACCAACACATAGGGGGTAAAGGAATACTTAAAATATTACACAAATTATAATCATAAAACTGATTGAAATATGTAACTAAACCCTCGACCACTTTGATGCAATAGTATATTCTACAACGTACTTGTGGGGAAAACCCTCCAAAACTTAAATAAAAATTTATTAATGTATTTTTTTGTTTTCAAGCATGCCTCCCCCAGAAAATTTTCTGCGGGCGCGCATCCACCAACGTATAAAATCTGTATGGCCGACCAGTTACATCCATTATGGACGGGGATGGCTAGCGATGTTCCATCCAACTCATATTATTCATGAAATATTATGAGTTATATTTGAACTTAGATCCCAATAAAACCGACACCTGGTCCCTGTCAGCTGGACAACTACTCTAAGTGTAACATTGCTTAACTATTGTTTAAAACATACAAATTAGTAATAATTTTAATATTTTTAAACATTTTTCAGCTATGTTTCAGAACTTAAAATGTGTGTTGTTTAATAATTAAAACTTAGCATAAATAAAAAAACGGTTTTATTTATTAAATTCTAGATTAAATCTGTTATTAGAAAGTTACAGTACAGTAATTATTTCATTCATATGTTGATATTAACGTTGGCGATAAGTGTTAAATAAAAAGCCTTCAACTTTATAACTTAAAACTATAACAATATTGTAGTTATAATATTTAATTTAATTTTTTAAAATACATTAATGATGAGTATTGAATTTTTGTAAAATTAGATACTATAATATGAACACAATTTTAAATTAAAAATTATTCATGTTTTACCGAAAATACTTTCGTGATTTTGTAACATAAATTCATGTAGTACTTATTTTTTACCAAAGAAACACAGAATAACAATGAAATATTAATATAGATTTCTTACCAAACTACTTCCATACTATTTCTATAATATGATTGACTCCAATCAATACACTCCTAACGTTCCACCAGATTGTCGTATAATGACAGCAAAGTCTTTAAAGATGATAGTCATCATAGAGTATTTTTCTTTCTCATAAATTACATAATAATTAGGCGAAAAGAATGAAAATTTGATAAATGTTTGTATTTTCTTATTCAAATCAGTATACGACGCCTCTTAAATTAGGATTTAATTGTAAAGTCTTTAAGAAAATAATTTTTAACTGAACATTTTTTCTATCTTACACAGACATACAGTAAAATTGCTGAAGCAACTAGAGTTTGCGTGTTAATTCATTACTACTTTTCAATGCTCCTTTTAAGAATATCGATTGGTTAGACCTCTCGAGAATTGTGTAATTATTATTATCGAAGCAACTCTCATAACGAAAATAGTTTTTTTTTCCATAGTTTTAGGCTAACTTTTTAAGATATTAAAATTTTATACGTAGATTTTTACTTTATTATATTCTGTATTGCTGTTGACAATTCAGGGATTCAGTGGAAAAGTGATGCAAATGGCAAATAGTATAACTTGAGTAAAATAGTGATAAAATTGTTTTAAAAATAAATAAATGAATATATATATATATTCATTTATTTATTTTTGACAAACAGTAATAAATGTCGATTATATATAGGCCTATATATATATATATATATACCTATATTATCGACATTTATTACTGTTTGTCACTTACCATGTAATGTCACTTACCAATTTTCCACTCGCCCCTTCAATTTTAACATTTATTTATTCTTTATTTATTAAGTATATATAAAGTTTATTATTTTTAATTGGTTCAAATACAAATTGTCATTTCAGAGTTCAAGTATTTTATGAAATTTTTTTGCGATTATTAGGAGATTTTGCTATTTTTAAATACTTTATGATATAGAAAACTTTATACTTTCTGAAATATATTTGAGATTTTTCAATATTTATATCAATCATAATTTACATTAGTTATTCCAATTCGTTTCACAATTAATCTGGTTTAACACTTCACAAAATTACATTCCATGATTCATTTAATTATAATAATAATAAACATTGTTATTATTATTATTTCATACAAATTATAATAAACAAATATAATAATAATATTTATTTAATTCATTGTATAATTGCAATTTGAAAAAATTTTAGACATATAAATTCCTACTCTCGTCCGTCCGTCAGTCTGTCTGTCTTTCCTTAATCTCGAGAACGAAGTTAGATAGATGAAAGACGAGACCAAATATGGAAAGTTTCGGGCAGGAGGCACAAATTAACTGATATAAACTTCTGTTCAAAATGGAAATCATGTTATTTAAATTTTAAAAATTTTCCCTCGAAGGTGTTAGATAGGTAACCGGCACGACTTTATTGTTAAAGGAAAAGTATGATATATAGAGGCAAGCCACTAACAATTTGAGGTGGAGTGCATATATTTTAAGTTAATAAATTAAAAATATGATCAAAAATTGTAGCCCGGCATTGTGGCGATATTACAATAGATAATTGCTCGTATTTAATAATGATTTTTAAATTCTAATAAAACCAATATTTAGAAAGATAGTTTTCTAAATATTGATTTGAAAACATATTAAATTCTTTCCACTGTGTTTACAACACTTGATTTTAAATTTATTTTAGTAAAAATGTTTGTAATGATATATTTCATGGATAATCACATCCAGCTGAAATCTAAAAAAAAGGATTTTTTTAGTCTTTTTAGATTTTACTAAGGCAGTTTAATTACCCAAAGTAAACAACTAACTAATTAAAAATTCTCCAGCAATTTTTTTCAAGCATGAGTCGAATGTGACTGCATAATGAAAAGACGTCGTTTTACTAAATTCTTATTAGTTATAACAGCGAAAAGATTTTATTAAAATATCCAACAGATATTTTGTTACCATTGTGAAAAATCTTTAGTAAATCTTCACATTGATTTTTTAAAAGCTTATCGCTAGAATCATGAATTTTTATTCACACCTTTTTCTTGGATCGATAAGTATTTAGTAATACTCCAATGCTGCATTATTTACATAAAATTGTAGTGTAAGTCAAGTTGAATACGTTTTTATGGACAGAAGAAATTCTGTTTTAATATAAAACTTTTTGTTTCTGTAAAAAAGATAACTGATTTCGACCGAAAAAGAAAATTAACAGTTGACATCTAATCAGTAAATTAATTATTTTAAAATAGATGCCATCACGATAGTACTGTATTGATCATCCAATTAATTGATGTTCTCTCGTCGTGGAATGTTAATCTGCTAACTTTTCTATAAACTAATTTATCAAATCGCTAAGGTGGCTTTCTGGTCAAGTTTCGGTATTTAATGGTGCCACAATATTATGTGTGGTCAGTGTGTACTGAGTTTTCATTTCGACCAGAATATCATCGCATAATAAGTCTATAAAATACATAAAATGCCTGTAATTTTTATGCATTTTATTGAATTGTTACACAGAAACGAATATTTATATAATCCTTATGAGTTGAAGATTTATTGAAATGGTTATTGTATTGTGAAATCGGGGATAATACATTCAATTTCTGTTTTACTTTTCCGGCTGTTATGTAACTTATACATAACAAGTGAAAGTATTAAAATCGTGTGCAAATTTCGCCCTCCGAGTTTTTTGCTCACATTTTGAGATCTCCTGAATCCCAAAAAAGACAATAGAATTCGCGTGAGTCGTTTAATATCTCAGAATGGGGTGAAGATTAAGAAACTAAATTTGGCACGGTTATATATATATAAAAGAGACATTGTTGCAATTAAATTTTAGTTAGGAAATGTCGAGGGGATGGAGAGATAGAGGATGTAATATCTCGCGTGGGGTCGGAATTAATGAAGATTTTTTACTTGTTAGCATTTACAAATTTGTTATAAAAATCATCTCTATCCTCAAAATTAAGCGTTTTGCTATTTTATATTAATTAAAAATATAGAAAGTTTTTATAACAAAATCTCATAACATCTGGGAAAGTTGCGCATTTCGTTGCTAGAGTTTTTTTGTTATAATTGTAAATTTTAATTTTGGTAAAACTAGAGAAGATATTGCTACTATGATATACATAATGCTGTGCGTACAATGAAATTATCGCAGCTGTTTACGGAATTACAGTTTAAGTACTGTACCTAAGTATAGTTTAATATAATAAGCTGTATTAATTTATTTTAGGAAAATTACCTCTGCCATCTCTAATTGAAAGAACAGATTCGAAAATACCAATTGGGACCATATCAAGACCAAGGTAAGTTGAAAAATTTATATTTCAGTTGTAGGCTATATATTGTATTATTTAGATATGATAAGAATGAAGTGTTAGGAATAGAAATTATGCTAGTCGTATTAAACAACTCTGGGTTAAATACTGAAATATTTAGTGTACAGTTTCTTCAAATGTATAGAACAGTGATTCTCAAACTTTTTCGATCCACCGCCCCCTTTGTTCCATAAAGTTATACCCAACGCCCCCTAACCCATTTTCTCTTGTATGAGAAAAGGATTGGAAATATTCTTAGGAAAACTTTTCTATGAATCTCACACTTTGTGCCCTTACTGTACATTGTTCTCATCATCTGGAAACCATTAAATGCAATGTTTCCTCTTATCAGCCCCAATTTTGCCTTTGGTCACCGTTCAATACCCTGCCTCTATCATAGATCTATTCATCGCGCCAGAAGGGGGCGTTATTGCTTACTTTGAGAAACGCTGAGCTAAAATAAAAGTCAATGTGTTACAAATATTCAAGTTGTGATCTTCAATAAAAAATAAAAAATATATAAAATGTCAACATTTTATATATATTCCGTCGAATTTGTATATATAGAATTTGTCTGCCGTCGCCCCTCTATATTTCCTTAACGCCCCCCAATTCTCTTTGAGCCTTCTACTGCCCCCCTGAAAGCCTCCAGCGCCCACAAGGGGGCGTTATCGCCCACTTTGAGAAACGCTGGTATAGAACATACAAATAAAATTATTTGATAATCTTGAGTGTAAAATTAAGAATTAAGAAATATTAATGTAGAATATTGTTCCTCAAACTTCAATGTTTCATTGTAGTTTGAGGAACAATATTCTACACTAAAAATTAATTAAGCATTTTTTTTATCATGATTTAAAACACTTCAGAATCATCCTTGACATACTTTTTATTTTCAACAATATTTAAACTTTCTTTTAAAGCGTATATATAACTTTGTCTTTTTCAGACCTGTTTCTATTTAAATGTATGTGCAATGGTGTAATACAAGTTATAATATAATTTGCACATGTCCAATATTTATAAAAAATTTGCTGCGTGTTACAAGTGTTGAAGATATTGAGACATAAAATATTGCTTTTTTTTTTTCTTTACTGTAGTATGTATAGTTGCACTCAATGTTTCAGTGATTTTAAAAATGTTTATTAATAAAGACATCCAAAATTTACATTTATTTTCAGAGAAGACCACGCGAATACTGACGAATCTTTTCTATATATTATCCCTGTTGGTAAATGAGTCAGATGTAAATTATCCTCATTTCTTCTCAGTCGCAACCGATATTTTCCAATTACCCACCTGAAACTACCAAATTATATAAATTTACTGATTATAAGAATATTTTATGAAAACATTACTAGTAATGAAAGTCATTTCAATGCTCTAAAAATTGACAGAGGAATTTTATATATTTTTCTCTATACATTAAACACAACTGTTGCTTACTAATATTTTATGAATTTTCATGTACTGTAAGACTAATGCGCCCATTGTAATGCGCCCATACAATGTATTGTAATGCGCCCATACATTGGAGCACTTGAGGCACGTGCTTCCTTTTTCCTAATTCTCAATGGGTCCCAAATACCATTATCAACAAACAACAGAAAATTCATGACTTGTAGCCTATTCTGTAAACATAAAAGAAAATAATGAACTACAGTATATTTGTTAGTTGTCGCATGGAATTTCGTTATATGTTGACAAAAACTGTACGATGCCTTTATTTATAACTTGTGATCCTCCATGTTTACACAAATTATCTAATATTTTGTAATTTAATTATTTTATTTATATCATTTCATGTTGTCGGTTTTTATATATCAAGAAATATTTATATTTTATTCTGTTTATTTAAGTTTGTATTATACATGCCTATACTGTTAATTATGTTTTAAGATTCTTATCCAAAACTGGTAGCAGAAATAAATACTTGTGAAAGCATTAAAAAATTATAAATTTATATTAAATACTTCTAATTATAATCCGTTTTAAATAAATACAATACAGAGTTTTAAATAAATTACATAACAGAGGGAAAATATGGCAATTGGTCAAATTACTTTTCCAAGATTTTTACACTTCTGGGCTCGAGAAACTTGAAAAGTCGAAATATATATATATTTCGACTTTTCAAGTTTCTCGAGCCCAGAAGTGTAAAAATCTTGGAAAAGTAATTTGACNTATATATATATATATAATTATATTTTTCTGTATTTTTTCTATATATTATAGTATGTGGGGGGGCAATGTTTTGTTCATTCACTTTGAAGCTTAATAATGCCTGTTCCTTTTGTCTAAAATTTCTGAAATGTTGCAGGAAGGTCTGTGGAGTAGGGGCATTGGTGCTATTAAATTTTGGTGGTAAAAGATAGAGGGAGTGGGGAGATAGAGGAGGGTCACCTGTCGTATCTGGAGTGGGGTCGAACTTAAGGAAGATTTTACTCGTTATTAGCATTTATAGATTTTTTTCTTTTATATTAAACTCATCTCTACTCTCAAAATTAATCTTTTTACCATTTTATAATACAGTAATTAATAATATAAAACTTTTTAAATAAAATATCATTACAGATGGTGCTACATACAATTCTACCTTTATTCCGGAAAAGTTACACAACTCGTTGTTGGAATTTTTTTCTTGAATTTAGATAGATTGAAGTCCTATTTCTTTCTTAAATACTGAAACAAACATCGTTATTATCAAACTTGCTAGCATATCAGAAATTCAGATTTTTTATATTTAATATACAGTAATAACATTACATTAATGTAATTCAAATATGTTGGTAAATTTACTGCATAATTTTATAATAATTAGCTTTAATAATTTGCTAACTTAAAAGACATTATTTTGAAACATAACATCAGTAAATTTTCTTTTTATGAAGGCAGAACGAGAATAGATACGATAATTAGAATTTTAAAATATATCAAGAGAAGCACTCGTCAATATTTTACAAAAATGGAAGATTGCGATTCTATATTTGTAAGAATAGGAGTTTTAGTATTTAAATTCAGAGTACAACCACACTTTTTCTGCAGTTGCAGAAAAAAAATTAGATTTAATACCATACATTTTCAGATATTTTACACTTGCCTTCCTCGTACGTTAGCAATGTTTAAGTTATATATTATTAAAATTAAAAATTATTTTAAATTATATATGCCGGTATAATCTAAGAAATTTCAGGAAAAATCGTGATTAATAAGGTTACAATAAGATAAGTAAAATGGAAAAACCATGCTTATAGAATAACGTTATAGCCGAAGAAATGATTTAATTTATAAAATAAATTAAAGAGTAGTAAATTTCTATCTTATTTCCCAAAATACTCCATCTGTTTGTAGAATATCGATCATTTCGGCAGTTTTAGTTTTTCAAGAATACTTATGTTTTACAGATAAAAATTATATTGAAAACTGGTTACCATAATCAATTTCTTTTGAATGAAATTTCGAAAATATTTAATTTATTTACTATTCATGTGCTTTAAAGTAACAAACGAATTTGACAATTAATAATTAAGTCTCACTTCATCATTCTATTGAAGACGTTCCATCATAATATAAAGTTCAATTAAAGCATAACTTTAAAACTAATATAAGGAAAGAAAATCATACTCTTTAATTATTACTTCTTTTGCTTGATTTTTCTGATAATTTCGATCCTGCAGCGATGGTATTGATAACTTCTTTGGCAGCTTAAACGATCTGGAGAAGAGGATAAAAACTGTGAACAGACGAAGATAGTAACATAGAAAAGAAACTTCATTAGGAAAGTAGAAGATTCTCTTACTATTTCTGTCCATCTAGATTATAGTATTACTTTCTATCCTTTCTATTCTTTGTGTTAAATTTGTTGGATGATAACCACAAATCATAGATAGGCTATTTTTATATTATTATTACATATTAATGAAATATAAAGAAATAAATATAGAAACTGTTAGAAAACATTTAGTATAAAAAGTTTTATTTAGGGCATATCTGATGAAGACTAAATATATATTGTATGGTTTGACTATTAAGTAAATCATTGTTGTTCAGTTTGGTAATTGGAAGTTCATTTCGTAATTTGTGTAAAGTGAAAAGCTGTTTCTGTAATTACAGAAATATTTGTAACTTAATTGCTCAAAAAAATTTAAAATGCAGTTAATTATGTAAAAGAAATCATTAGTATTATTGTAATATTGTATACCTTTTTGTAATTTGTATTCGTTTGAATGAACATTTTAAACAGTCTGTACTTTTCTAACTTTCATAAATACTGTATAGGCTAACATTTTTAATTCTTCCTATTTATATAGCCTATGCCCCTAGGATATACAGTATATAAGTGTTTATGTGATTTATATAGGCCTATATATTACAATGAATTCCAGAAAATATAATTTCGGTGATTATTTTCATAAAGTGGTGTTTTATTTTGTTTTAGTGTAGAGACAGTAATTTTTTTTTATTTATTTTTTGGATCTAATTGTAGCGTTGCCAGATGTCCCGATTTTTCCGGTTGCCATCTATAAACAGGAGGACTTTATTCCAAATAAACTGTTTACAATGAAGTATCTTTTTGTCTTTTTCTTTTCCACATTTAAAATATATTTTTGTCCTGGCAGAGTAAAAATACACATCTATTGCATGTCTTGGAATTGAAGCTCCCAGTATCTTTCGGAAAAAAGTCATTTTCCGGAATTTTATACCCAAGTAACTAGCGACCCTTACCTAGTTGAAATTTCTAATTGTTTTTTTTTTTTTTCTATAAAATTCTCTAAGTATTCTACATCATTAGGATACAATAAGAAATGTTATCAAAAGACATAGAAAAGTACCGCCTTTTGTTATAACTATTATTGTGTACTGACCTTTCTATAGATGTAATATTATTCAATTAACTGATTAAACTTTGTAAACACTGTTTGACATTTCTATTATAAAATTTAATATAAAAAAAAATTAGCAACATTCAGACTTTCGAGCTTTAATAT